CCCAGCTTTGCCTCACCCCGCTTTCCTCTGGCTCTCTGCACTGGCCTCCTGGCAGCACACGTGCTCACTGTGTTCCTCCCAGCCTTGGGGACTCACTGTACTGCTTCTTGTAGTTATGACTTCTTGTAGCTGAAATGCTCTGCCTCAGCCCCATCCCCAGCTCATCTCATCTGCTGGTATAGTGTTTTTCAAACTTGAGGGTCTATCACAGTTGCCTGGTGGGTTTGTTAAAATGCCACAATACTGGGCGCCACTCCTGAGAATTTCTGATACTGTAGGCCTGAGGTGGGACCTGATCATTTGCAATTCTAACAAGTCCCCAGGTGATGCTGATCCTGCTAGTCCTAGAACCATGCTTGGAGAATCACTGCCCTGACTACCGTCTATTGGTTTTCCGGATCTCTGAGAAATCTTCCTTGACTGGTGCCTCCCTCACTAGGCTAGCTTAGACATGCTCATGGCTGTCTATACATTTCCTTCACAGCACCTGCCCTCATCATGGGCTGTAATTATGTGTGTGTGTGATTATTTCATTAATGTCTGTTTTTGTGGTTAAACTCCTGTGCATGTGGTTAGGCAGCATCTCTGTTTTCTGTCCCCAGTGTTTACTAAGTACTTTGCCACATAGTGTGTGCTCATAAATATTTGCTAAAGCAGGACTAATCTCTTCCATGAGATTTTCTCTAATTGAGGTCCTATCACCATTCCTTCCCATGCATGACTATTTTACTTAGGAGAAGTCCATTCTCCTAAGAGTTGATACATTTTAGAGGTTCCCCAGGAATTGGAAAATCATCAAACACTACAGAATACCAATAAGAATTGGAGAAGAATTGTCAGAACAAAGGAAGTTGTTACAAAAGACACCAGTGCCTGCTATGAGGCCCACTTTCTTGTGTTGGGATGATCAAATGGGATATTATATGGAAAGAACTTAGTGTAATACCTAGAATGAAGCAAATACCCCAAAACGTTCGCTACTATTATGGATTACAGTAGCCTTCACAACCTGGGTCTTGTAGTATCAGTTCAATTTCAAATATTCTGTCCCAAGGTCATATTTCTTCACATATTTTGTCTGGAAAATCTGATACATATGGCCTGTATCAAACATTTTAATATTCATACAGCATATTATACTTGACTAAATGCAGCAAACACTTATTAAGTGCCTATTGTATGAACTCATTTGGCTGGCATCAGAGGTGCACGCAGATGAATAATGATCCATTAGGGGAGAGAAACAAACAGCCAGCAAAAATGTAAGGCCGAATAAAATAAGCATGAAATGAAGGCAGGTATAAAACCTACAGGTATGGAAAGGATGGATAATTTCTGGCTGAAGTGGTATTTGATTGGGCCTGGAGCAGGGAGAGTGATCTTGACAAGCAAAGAAAAGAAGCAGAGCATTTCAGGCCAGTCCAGGAGGAGGGAACTTAATGGGCTGAGGCTCTGGCTCCCTGAAGTGTGTGGCTCACTCAAGAGAAAGAGAAAGAACAGTGTTCCTGCAGTGATGAGAGACATGGTGAGACAGAGAGGAAGCTGAAAGGTATTTGGAGTCAGATTATATATAATCTTGAATGTAATGCTAAGAGGCTAGTATTTTGTTCCATAGGTAGCATGGCTCCAATTGTATCCCCTGCGTGAAGCTGCTTCGATATCTTATTTTTTCTCAGGTTTGGCTTAGGGAAGACAGGTGTGATGTCTACAATCATTTGATTGGCTAGATTTGCAAGGCAGGCCTTCAGCTCACTTTTAACTTCTTCTGGGATATTTTATCCCAATTGGACTCTACTGCCACCCGATAAGTGGTCACATGTAGTTATCACTATTTTCTAAACACCCACGTGTTCTCAGAGATATGATTATGAAAACAAGATTAGCAAAAATAGCTAAGTATAAATTGGTAGTTTCTTCACAAATGCTTGACTCAGATTTCTCTCCAATCTAATCCTACCCAGATCTGAAGACTTTCTTTAACTGACCCTGAGTGTTGATATTTTACACTTTATGACAAAAGTCCTTCCAGGACATACATGGTTCTCATTTATAGCTGTTTTCCCATGTGTTGAAGAACACACTAATTTTCTTCCGCTCTGATTCCTGTAGTATTACGATAGTATTTTGATGACTCAGGCTTTCTCATTCAGGCAATGGTGCTATACTCAGCACTCCAATACCCCACCTCTCTCTCCAATTTCCACCCATAGTATAAAAAAGAAATTGCCTCCCTTATCCATATGACTGCCACTAAACAGAATGGTGAATATGAGACATCTTCTATGTTAGCTGTGCAAATCTCTAATATGCCATTTTTCTGATCAGGTAAAGGTCTGTCAATTGACTAACCTGTGTCAATATCATGGCAATGAAGCAACTGTGACCCGAATGTCATAGATATCTCTGCTTTTCCTTGAAAGAGACTGCTTTTAAAGAAACATGAAATTACAAAAACATCACCTTTTATCAGAATAGAACTTCTGGTTAAGTGTGTTTTAAGGTAAGGAAGAAAATTAAAGAGAAACATGAAGTATTTAATAGTTTCAAAGCTGATATTGAACTATCCTATAGCTCATTTCGCTGGGAACTTAGGCTGATGAGAGAAAGTGTTTCTTCAATTGCCAACATTTTCTCTAGGTTGTTTCCTAAAATCTTTAAGAAAGATTAGTTATAGAAACTAATCTTTAGTTTATGGGAACAAAGACTTATTCTTCATTTAGATTTAGACTTAGTTATGGGAACAAATACTTATTCTTCATTTCACTAAACCAAAAATCCAACCTCAAGTTATTTACATTCTCACTTTTTGAAAATATTGAGATCATATGTAGTTTTATATTCTATCTTTTTTCACTTATTACAGTGTGGACATTTCCCTATGTTATCAAACACTCTTCTAAAATACTTCAATAGCCATGAAATATTTTTTCAGTTGAATATACCATAATGTACTTAACCAATTCTCTACTTTTGGTCATAGAGGTCTTTTTTTCCAATTTTTCACCACTATAAATACTGCTATAGTGAACATCCTTATACATATATTTTTGATCACATCTCTAATTACATTCTTTTTTTTTTTTTTTTGAGATGGAGTCTCACTCTGTTGCCAGGCTGGAGTGCAGTGGCATGATGTCAGCTCACTGAAACCTCTGCCTCCCTGGTTCAAGCAATTCTCCTGCCTCAGCCTCCTGAGTAGCTGCGACTTCAGGTGTGCACCACCATGCCCAGCTAATTTTTTGTATTTTTGGTAGAGACGGGGTTTTACCATATTGGCCAGGACGGTCTCGATCTCTTGACCTCATGATCTGCCTGCCTCGGCCTCCCAAAGTGCTGAGATTACAGGCATGAGCCACCACACCTGGCCTCTAATTATGTACTCAGGAAAACATTTCTTTAGGTAGAATCATTAGGTCAAGGAGTTGGACTACCTTTGAGGAGCTCTCCACATATTACTAAATTATTCTATACCCATTTTTCATGTGTTCCATACTAATTTCTCAAATATCTGGTGACACAGTTTGAAATTTCCTATGAGAAAACCCATTGTCAAATTGGTTGGAAGTAGCAACTTCTATGATCTAAGTAAATCTATTGTTATCACAACAGGATGGATTATTTTTCTGCCTGTATGGAGCAGATCACCAAGTTTCCATTCATATTAATTAGATGAACTGTCTGTTACAAAGGTTGTGAAACATATGTATTAGGCCAGGGGTCCCCAGTCCCTGGGTCATGGACTGGTACCAGTCTGTGGCCTGTTAGGAACCACGTGGCACAGTAGGAGGTGAGTGGCAGGCGAGTGACCATTATCACCTGAGCTCCTCCTCCTGTCAGATCGGCAGTGGCATTAGATTCTCATAGCAGCACAAACCCTACTGTGAACTGTACATGTGAGGGATCTAGGTTGCATGCTCCTTATGAGAATCTAATGCCTGATGATCTGAGGTGGAAGAGTTTCATCCTGAAACCCTCCCCTTGGCCAACCCCTGGTCTGTGGAAAAATTGTCTTCTAGGAAACTGGTCGTTGGTGCCAAAAAGGTTGGGGACCACTGTATTAGGCAGCAAGCTAACCTAAGTAAGCAGGGCCCTGCTGCGAGGCACACCTTTCTACCATACACCACCTGAAGAACAGAAGAGGCTGAGAGCAGGAGAACACCAGGCAGGGAAGGTGGCCTGGGCATTGGTACTGGCCACTTCCGAGTTCAAAATCTGACTGTAGCATGGTAGCTGGGTAACTGATAACAACAAAATGTGCCAGGCTCATTTTTATCATTTATATAATGTGGACAATAGTGCCCATATTCAAAAGATGTGTGAGGGTTAAGTGAGATAAAATGCTTATCCCAGTGTAGGCATCCAGGAAGTACTTACTTTTTTAAATGATTAATTCCGTGCTCACAACTGCCTATGGAGTTCAGTATTTGGAGAGTTGATAAAACCAGAAACAAACCATCTATTTGGGACCAGTATTTAAATTTTGCACAGCTTTCTTAGCCCTTTCTTTTGGTAAAGCAATTGGAAGTCAGGATAAACATCATCACCATCATCATCACCATCACCATCATCACCATCATGAGCATCAGGATCAACATCATCACCATCATCATCACAATCACCATCATCATCACCATAACCATCACCATCATCACCATCACCATTACCATCATCACCATCATGAGCATCAGGATAAACATCATCACCACCACCACCACCACCATCATCACAATCACCATCACCACCACCACCACCACCACCATCATCACAATCACCATCATCATCATCACCATCATCACAATCACCATCATCATCATCATCACAATCACCATCATCATCATTACCATCATCATCACAATCACTATCATCATCATCATCACCATCATCACAATCACCATCATCATCATCATCGCCACCATCATCAGGATCAACATCACCATCATCATCACAATCACCATCATCATCATCACCATCATCATCACAATCATCATCATCATCACTATTATCATCAGGATCATCATTAGCATTATCAGCGTCACCACCACCACCACCATCATCATCATCATCATCAACATTGCTATCATGTGGCAAATATGGGAGTAGAGGCCATGGAGACAATGGCTCAGTGACTGAGCTGCTGTCAAAGCTGTACCTCCTGTTCTGTGATTAGTGCTGAGTTTCTGGGGTAAGTTCTGGGCCTCAGGCCTCCTGAAATCCTCACTCTGCCCCTCTGGGCAACAGGTTTGCTAGAGGAAGAATCAGGCCTCATGCTTTTGAGTCTCAGGAGTCCCCTTATTGGCTCTAGACATATCAGCAGGGCTTCTATGCCAGGGTAAGTGTTCTCCATACTTAAGAACAGCATCTGCTCCATCAGAATTGGAGCTTTCTTTGAAACCATTCCTTCCTTTGAGTGACCACAAACAAAAAGAAAGCAGCTGCAGAGGTACACACAAACATCAAGATGTTAGTAGGATGGCTGCTTGCACTGGGCAGCACAGGCTCACTCCAGGAATCAGCTCTACATCTCAAACGCTAATCAGGGAGGAAGCCAGGAATCCCAATTTCAGTTCCAGTTAATGAATGGGAGAGAAGAATCAGAACTCTGTTTTGTTTTTCCACCAAACTGATGACATCATCTTTACTGTGCCACATGAAGCACAGCCCTGATTCTGAAGAGCAGAATAAATAGTTTGCGTAGTATGTCTCCTTAAAGTGCTCCAAAACCAGGCAGGGGCCTGGGGGTATTTACCTTGATCCTTCCTATTCAGCTGAAACTGTAGAACACATGACAGGAGGAAAAAAAACACATAGCTTTAAGATGAATGAAAAAGATCAAATATATTGGACATTGTGTGGCTTTGTCTTTGGAATCTCATTGAGTGTTAAAGAACTCATATTGCTGGCTTTTTCCTTCTTAGAAAATCAGTAAATGATTCCTCATTATGCAAGTCAGTCAAATTTTATTATTACTTGTACCTTAAGATTCTATGAATACGACCACTGTCAGGAATATATAAGTTTCACACTGAAGGTTATGTGATGGACCACTGACAAAGGCAGAAAGAAACCCTGAACTCCAGCTGAGAACCCTGAACTGAATTGGGACTGCAGAGGCCAGCCCTCCACCTCAAAGGCAGGACCTACAACCATCCTTGCCCACCCTCCACCCCTGCGCTCTTTCATAAAGACACACAGACAGAGTACCACCGGCTGTGGCAGCCAGGACTGGAGCAACAAAGATCATGAACTGTAGCTGCTGCCTGTGTCACTTCTCTTGTGGGTCTGCAGCTTCTGTGTGTCTGCATGTGCGTATTCTTGGTACGCACATGGCATTCTTGGTCCTTGGTGTTTGCATGTGGGCTCTGCTCTGGGAAGGAGGCAGTAGAACAAGGGTGGAATTGAAGGTATCAGCAGCTTCTAAGCCTAGTGCCCTGGATCATCACTCCACCTTCCTTCACTCCGCTCTGCTGTTTCTTTGTTCCATAGCACTTACAACTGTCTAACATACTATGTGATTTACACTCATTCATGATGTTTAATGTCTGCTAGAACGTAAGCTGCACAAGGGCAGAATTTCTATTCTTTTTTATCCACTCACAGATTTAAGCACCTACAGCAGTGGCTGGCACAAAACAGGCACTCTATAAATATTTGTTTAATAAATGAATGTTTATCAGCCATTCTAATTTAGATTCTAGTTAAGCAATTGATAGGGCTGCAGGCCAAGACCTGTTCATGTGTTTGAAATATTTACCCTCACCCCCAGCCTTTAGGCTCAAAGCTGCTCCCGGTCTCCACAAAGCAGCTGGCTGTCCACAAAGCAATCACTGTCACTTGGTAAAATTGAGGAGGAAGTAAAATATTTACTGAAGCAGAAATATTGGGGGTTCAGTAGCCTGGGTTGTTTTCTCTTAACATCTGATGACCACTGACACCCCAACCCCACCTTGGAATTTATTTCAGAAGGACATAAGCCAGAGTATGATTCTGATCTATGATTCAAGAATATTCAAGGTTTTTGTTATACCTGCAAATTGCTCATATTGCCACTAACTGCAATCAGAAAAGATCCTACCTTAAATGCCTTTCTATCCTCAGAATGCCTCACACATTTGTTTTCAGTAAATGTTTGAGAATGATCTTGAAAGTATGCGAGAGAACAGAGAATAAAAATAGAATCAAGCCCAAGCTGGGGATCTCTCAGCTTCTCCCAGTTGCTGAGAGGTAATAATTAGGGTAACTATATAATTTTTCACCCAAGCCAGGACAACTGGCATAAACTGGGACTGTCTTGGGACGATTATACAGATGACTCTCTTAGGTATAATCAGCTTCCATCATATTAGAAGATGGGAAAGGACTAGCAAAGATTAGTGCCTCTGACATGTTAAAAGCTCTGTGGTTTGCATCCTACTCAGTTTGCATTCAAGGGTCACAGATGTTGATCAAAATATTCATATTGCCAATTTGCACTAATTTCACTAGTTTGTAAGTATCAAGCAAGACTGTTCAATAAATGACCTAGCAAATTAATCTATTTTCCCCCATTAGTTTCTGACTTTTTAGCATGACAATACCAGACACCCTGTTAAAGAAAAGGCCCTTCAAGCTGTGTAACTGACGTGTTCGGATTCCTCCTTGGAGACGCATCTGTCTACTTACCACCCCCGCCCCAGCCCACGTACCCCTTCCATCCCAACCAGGCCTCTATTTTTCAGTTCTTGCAGTACAATCAGAATAAGTGAAAAAGGACCCTGATTTTCCAGAGGGACCATGCAGTCTGAAAAGGTATATCTTCAACATCATTAGCAGTTCATCTTCTAAAACCTCAGGGCAGCCCCTAGGCAGCCCCTCCTGCAGCACCCCGCCCCCTTCCACCGCCACCCCTCTCTTTTGGTGTCGGCTTATCAAATTAATGAAGCCTATCTAGACGGGAGGAACTTGGGGTAGAAGACAGTGGCTTAAGAGCAATTCAATGCAAGCCCCTCCCTCTTAAAAAAAAAAGAATAATGGGAAAAAAATTAGAATTTCTTTCTCTTACAATAGGAAGAGGAAAGGGAAATGGTGTTGGGGGTGGGGTGAGGGGTGGCTGTGATTGTCTCCTAGTTCCCTGAAGGAAGAGATGTCTATTTACTTTTTCTGGCTGAACATTTGCATGTTAAAAAGGCACAGCTCCTTTGTGGGCAGGATTTATCAGGGCCACATTTTCTACTTGATAGGGCTGGGTAAGAGTGCTGGGTAAGGACTCCAGGTAAAGGATAAAGCAACTTCCTACGACCTTCCCTCTCACCTTTTTATAAGACAGTCCCCTCTATCACGCAGAGAATCTGGGAGGCCAGATTTCGTGGCCATGTGTGTTTGTGCAGCACGTTGGCGGGTGGCAGGAGGCAGAGCCCACCCTTGGCCGCAGGCAGCCATGGGCTGGGTGGTAGCTTCCTCCTGCAAGGCACAGAGCACAAGTCAGTGCCAGTAGAGCCTCCCCAGTCCCCTGTATCCGGAGAGGCAATTTGCAGTGCGAGGTACAAAACACATCAACATCTCTCATCACGTCACTGACCTAAATATAGACAATGACTTCAAGGAAGAGGAGGAAAAAAAAAAGGTGCACATTCTTTTATACCTGCAAATGCTGCCGAGCTCTTCAAACAAGCACTGGCAATGAGGAACAATAGATAACCAGTCAGATGTGAAGGGAGAAGAGAGGAGGGATGGGTGTTCTAGGATGATTGCTGTGATAAGGCCATTATAGTTTCTCAGCGGAACATCAATCCTCATTTGTAACCCGGGGTCTGGATATCACTTTGGGAGCAGTTTTGTGTCCCTTGTCGGCTTTTCCATGGGAGCCCTGTGGGAGGAAGGGGGTATCTGTCGCAGATCTTCTGGCTAAACTGGGCTGGCCTCTTCACTGGCTGGGATGGGTCTCTAATTCAGAGAAGCTTTTTCCTTCCCACGTGAGAAGAGTGTGCTGTTGGTGTCTTTGTTACTGAGCAGCCTCCCCTGGCATCCACTTGAGCCATCCTGACCCCGGCCCCCACCTCAGCATCCCAGGTCAATGTCCCTTCCACCCTGGAAAGCCGACATGGGCTGGCTTGCTTGTGTATGCCACGAGGAGTATCAGGAAAGGGTAGTTTTCCCTCACAGTGTGAATTCAGAGTTGGGTCGAGACTTTTAAAGCTGTGTTCATAAGAGTGCTTACCTTCTTATTAACTTGGGGATTATTCACCTGCTGGGTGAACAGAGGGCCATATTAGAAGCTCTTATGAACACGAATCGCATAACTAGGGACCTTGGGAAAGATACCTGAACAAAGCATTAAGTATGGATAGACCGGTGGCTCAGCAATTAGGACACAATTGTGGACAATCAATTGCTGAGGAATTGTCACATGGCTCTTACATATTTTGAATGCTCTTCCTGTTCCCTCAGACAACTATCTGCATAAGAACAGCCTGCACAGAGGCTCCCTGAGTGTAACATAATTGCCTGCTGTTAGGGAACCAGCAAGCCTCTTCAGATTTAAGCTGTCCAGAACTCCATCATTTAGGCTGAAACACAAACCCATGCTCTTTTGTGTTAGCAAAACATCCACAAATGTAGCCATCGGTTTGTTGCTTCAGAGAACACAGACTCGACCCTTGCAGACACATACTGCAGCATCACACAAAGATCCCTCTCCCTTTGGAAAAATAGAAAATAATCAAAAGAACGCCACTCTCATACAAGATAGGGAAGCTAAAGGCACCACTGAAAATGAAATACAATAAAAAACAATGGAAGAATCCCAACAAGAGTTGAGGACAAAAAGAAAGTAAGCGAGAAGTTCTAGGTAAAAATGAGTAACAACAATTCAGAAAAGGATCTGGCTAAAGCAGAGCTGTGAGTGCCCAAGGTTAATACAGAGTCTGATGTGCATGACAGGAACGTCTTGGTAGCTTCCCTGGCACAGTGACCTCTGGTACTTACTGTTCTTCTGGAAAGTGAGGAGAAATCAGAACATGGAAAATAGGGAGGTGTATGTATTCAGAAATAAAGACACCCAAAGAGTGACAGAAAAAACGGCATTAGATTTCAAATACCAGTTTAAGACGACCACAACCAGAACAGGAATCTAGCTGCTCTATGATGTGTAATAGGAACGGTTCTCAACAATGCCATTCACCAACAAAGACTGACTGCTGAGGGTTTCTGAAAAGGAGCTGTGGACTGGCTTAAGGTGAAGATGCTAAAAGATCCTGACACAGTAACAGGAATGCCTTTTTAGAACCTGTGCTTCTATTGGATTTTGGCTTCTCTACGCAGATTCCTGGAAACAGAGTCTCTGGGATCGGTGAATGCAATTAAAAATTACAAAGGACTAGAGAGGGAAAAAAAAAAACAGAAAATAATTTGGTCAAGAAGAAATATGCCCAGAGTCATTTTTTTTCCAATCCAATATCTTTGTTAATTAAGCATTTTTCCAATCTATGATGAGAATGCTAATAATAATCTAATACTATACTACTCATTACTAATAAAACATATTTATGAAGTGGAAATATAATGTGCCTATTTCCAAAATGTGGTTATAAATGACTTACTCTAAGCCACAATTTAAAATGGTTTGAGAAATGAGTCTTTAATAAAGAATTGATGAGGATGATGACTGCTGATAATAATTCTATTTGGTAAGATTATGTGGTTTGCTATGGCAATTTGAACTGAGGTGATTGCCTCAAAAATTACTGCAAGTAACTACTATAAGGAAATTTAATTGGTGATAAATACACTGATGGTGTGTCAACTCTTGAAAAAGCGAGCCTGTAACTGAAGAATCCAGCATCATTTCATCTATAGATTCTATTCATAGTCATTACGGTGCTGCCAAGATGTTATTTGTCTGGCACACTTGCACATAGTAGGGATTTAAAAGGTGAGTGCATAAGCACCTATAATTGGTCCTCTATGTAGGTTCCTACATAAAATTATAGTTAATCATAAACCCATTAACATTTAGAAAAAAACCAATTATAACATGGCTTAGGATGGAGCTGTAATAGCGTTTGTGATAGTTAGTGACGTGGATGCTCCACATGGTCAGAAAGCCTTGATGTTAGGACACCAGGATCTAGCCTGAGCTTTTTAAAAAGAATGAAACAAAGCAAAACAAACAAATACAACCCAAACACACTACCAAAGTTCACTTTTCTTTTTAATGGTATTACTACACTAATAGGCCAGGGTGTGCTTGAGCAAAGCATTTGCTAGAACTTCTCTGTCCATCCCTTTAAACACAGAGAGCTAAGTGTCCTAGTGGACCTGTACAGATATCACATACACATTGAATCCTACCAAAAGACTAGGCATTGTCTGGAAAGTGGAACTCCACGGAATAAACAAAGCCCTGAGCATCATGGGGTTGAAAGTCTAGAGACGCCAAGCAAATTAACAAATACTTAAATACAACATAATAAATGATAAATGTTGCAATGAAAGTGTGGAGTAGGCACTTCATGGAGATGAAGGTTGAAAATGGGCAAGTGACGGCTTTGCAGAAGATGCACTTCTTTTTTTTTTTTTTTTTTTTTAAACCCATAGTTTTATTGTCATGAATTATGGTTTTTACTCACAAAACAAAAATATACATGGAACATTGACTTCAAGGGTTGGTTAGGAAGTGGAAATCCGGTGGCCTCTCCCATTGTCATGGTCCTGACATAGGGCTAAGAATAGGTGATTCCATGCTTGAGCCCGGGAGGTGGAAGTTGTGGTGAGCCAAGATCATGCCACTGAACTCCAGCCTGGGTGAGAGTGAGACCCTGTTGAAAGAGGAAGGAAGGAAGGAAGGAAGGAGTAAGGGAGGGAGGGAGGAAGGAAAGAAGGAAGGAAGTGCTGGGCGCGGTGGCTCACGCCTGTAATCCCAGCACTTTGGGAGGCTGAGGCGGGTGGATCACAGGGTCAGGAGATCAAGACCATCCTAGCTAACACGGTGAAACTCCGTCTCTACTAAAAACTTAAAAATTAGCCGGGTGTGGTGGCGGGCGCCTACTTGGCGCCCAGCTACTTGGGAGGCTGAGGTGGGAGAATGGCGTGAACCCAGGAGGCAGAGGTTGCAGTGAGCCAAGATCATGCCACTGCACTCCAGCCTGGGCAACAGAGCAAGACTCTGTCTCAAAAAAAAAAAAAAAAAGGAAGGAAACAAGGAAGGAGGAAGGGGAAAAGGAAAGAAAGGAAGAAAGAGAAACGAAGGAAGGAAGGAAAGAGTAAGGGAGGGAGGGAAGAAGGAAAGAAGGAAGGAAAAAGGAAAGGAAGGAAGGAAGGAAGGAAAAAGAAAGGAAGAAAGAAAAGAAAAAAGGAAAGAAAAGGTGATTCCTGAGTTAAGCCTTAAAGGATTAAGGACTAGTAGAAGTTTATGAGTCAGATCAAGTGTGGCCAAAGCATTCCAAGTAGAGAAATAACCTGTGTGAAGCCATGAAGAGCCTGTGTTTGAGGAACTGGCATGGTAAATTGCAGAGGATGTTATAAGGAAGGGGAAAGAGATGAAGCCAGGAGGCAGATGAGGAAGCTGAACATACCAAGGGGTCTGGATTCCACTCTACAGTGACGGGCAACTCCACAGTAATTCTGCTCCTATTTATATTAATGACTTGTATACTGGCAGAGTAAGCAGGAAGAATGACAATGACAAGAAAAATACAAATCTTACCAGGTCAGGAAAGTATTAACACCCAAATAGATTCACAAACGCTAACTGCTCTTATGCTATGCTAGGAAAATCTTGTCTATGTTATGTTATGTGAGGTTTATAACGGAGTCAAGCACCTTTAGGCTGCAAACAAGTTTTGCTAATTTTTATTGAAGTCTGCATTGGTCAAATGACATTTGGAATTTCATATACAGATCTGGGAATATAACTTTTAAGAAAGATATCAGTTATTATCAGCATGTCAGAAAGAGGATAGCCTTTGTGACCATGGGTCAGATAATCATGTTAACGTAAGGAATAGTGGAAGGAACTGGCCATGTCTGAGTTGGGAAAGAGAGCTAGAGAAATATGAAAGCTTTTGTTAGCTCTCTAGAGGTTGCCTACGAAAAAGGGTAGATTTACTCCATGTCACAACGTAGGAACAAAGTGGAGGTTATATAGAGAGAGATTTCAGCTGAGTACAAGGAAGGACTTTCAATTCATTCTATATCCAAAAAATGAAAGTGGATGACAGGCAAGGACTCCACGGCCATCTCGTCAAAGAGTTTTGGAGGAGATTCCTCCTCTTGGCAAGAGGTTAAGCTGGAGGACCTTGACAGTCCTTTCTCCCCAAAGATTCTCTAAAATGTCAGTACATCCTGGCTATATCAGATATCTGTAATTTCAAAACAATCAATGATCCTATATAATTTATATCTCTGGAAATCTAGTTCATGTTAAAATAATCAACTATACTTTTGCACACTGTGCTAATTTTTAACGAGGATTAAAAAAAATAAGACATGATGCTATTATTTCTCCTTTCCTCAAGGAGGCATGCCACATGATCCCATGGACAATCACCGACCTCTTACGAAATTGGGGACTGATCCTAACTTGGCATTAATTAGGAAGCAGAAATCATTCAGACATAGTTATACTAGCAATGGAGGTTTATAATGTACTTTGAGGATACAAAGGATTCCTTTGAGTTATGAAACCCAAACAATAAAAGCAATATTGACAGAGTGCTTAGGGCATATTGGGTACTCCACATTCTGGCTATAAGGAGATTAGTAAAAAATGAGACATTTTCTCTTCCAAATTTGTACCAATGACGCAATCATGGCCACCAAAACCCCTCAGAGAATAGAAGAGGTTTCAACTTTCCCATAATCAAAGGATAATCAATGAGGTCATGGTGAGGAGGTTTCCAATTACCTGTTGCTAAACCAGTATCAGTATCAATTTCATCCACCAGAGATCTATTTCCACCTATGATTTACCATAAAATCCTCAGGGTAAAAAATAACATTAGACTGCTGTTTTTAAACTTTCCATTATTTTTAAAAACCCAAATGAAGATCCTTGGATCTTTTTTGGGAAAAATAACACCTAAAATCTTAAAATAAAAAAAATCTAAATTAAGAAAACATTTGAAGATTCACTGACACCAAGTGCCAAACTCAAACCCAAGATCCCAATAAGAGACTTTCATATTAGACTCTCTTATTGCAGTTAGTTTTCCCATATGACAAATACAACACTCTCTGTTTATTGATAAAGGCCTAGCAATATTTTCTATCCCCGACCAAGAGGGTGTGGTCTTGCTGACTCCAGTGATCAAGTTCAGAACCAGAAGAATATTTCTCACCTGACAAAGGAACCAAATATATGCACACACTGGAGCTTAACCTTAGACCCGAGCATGGGATCACCTTCTCCTGTGAGTACCCAAAGCCAAGATCCTAAGCATGTGGCCAGAAGAAAAAAAATCACTTAAACTGAACATGATATCCTGGGGAACAAAGGCCAGCACTATTCCAGGGAGTTGATCCTTCCCACTTTTTTTTTTTTTTTTTGAGACCGAGTCTTGCTCTGTCACCCAGGCTGGAGTGCAGTGCTGCGATCTCAGCTCACTGCAAGCTCCGCCTCCCAGGTTCAAGTAATTCTCCTGCCTCAGCCTCCTGAGTAGCTGGGACTACAGGCACCTGCCACCACGCCCAGCTAATTTTTTTGTATTTTTAGTAGAGATGGGGTTTCACCGTGTTAGCCAGGATGGTCTCGATCTCCTGACCTCATGATCCACCTGCCCCGGCCTCTCAAAGTGCTGGGGTTAAGGTGTGAGCCATCATGTCCGGCCCCCCTTTTTTTGAGGCAGAATCTTTCTCTGTCACCGAGGCTGGAGTGCAGTGGGGCGATCTTGGCTCCCTACAACCTCCACCTCCTGTCAAGTGATTCTCATGCTGCAACCTGCTGAGTAGCTGGGATTACAGGCGTGTGCCACTATGCCCAACTATTTTTTAAATTATTATTATTATTTTTTATTTTTAGTAGAGACAGGGTTTTGCGGTGTTGCCTAGGCTGGTCTTGAAGTCCAGACCTCAGGCGATCTGCCTGCCTTGGCCTCCCAAAGTGCTGGAATTACAAACGTGAGTCACCGCACCCGGTCCCTCCCATATTTTAATAAGGATTGTTCTCCTCAAATGTGCAGGAGGCTTGAGGGAGGAGTTGGGTGTATTTACCATCCGTACCACTCATTCCTCTAGGGTGGGAAGAGAAGCTATAAAAAGTGAAGCACTGTTCATCTTTATTCACTGTTTCCTCCCAACTTCATTCTTCCCCTGTAGATGGACCTTGTGTTTCCCACACTTTCCTCTGGGATTGACCCACCAACAGGAATTGTGCCTGGTGCCTACTTACTAAATCCTCAGCCTCAAAAGTAAGGATGTACAGAAGTCATTACTTAAAAAGATTTTTTTTAAGGTGTGACCTTCATATTTAAAGTGAAATGTGCAGAAAGGCAGAGGTCCACACGATCATGTAATCTGTATAAACAAATGATCTCAATGGTTATTCGGCAGTCAGTTTAAGTATCTGGTATTTGTCCACATTATCCTGCAGTGATCAGCCTGGATTATTCCTCTTAAATTTTAAAAAATAACCTTGGAAGAAGGGAGACGCATTTCCTTTATTTCTAGTTAAGAAAAACAACAGGCCAGAGAGCATAACAGTAATTTATGATTTTGCTGGTGTATTATCATCCAGTAATAAGTGCAACTTGAAACTACCAATTATCTCATGAGAGGGGTATCACCTTTTCTGTTGTGAATGACTACATCGATAAACGTAGGTTCAGCTCCCTCACTCTTCGTCACGTCACCAGCAGCTTCTCAGCAGCAGAAGTGAGCCAACCAGGGAAGCAGAGGAAAAACAAAAACAGTCAACACACAAACACGTAAGTTAGTCCAGCCTCTGGCCCGGGAACCCAGAGAGGGACAGAGAAAGATAGGGGGAGGGGCTGCGTGGAAGCGCCTGGAGCAGTCGGCAGGTCACACACACGCGGTGCTCAGCGGCAAACTCAGTTTACAAAGAGGCATCTGTTCCATTACTCCAATGCATTGTGGCTAATTACATCCTGGCCCGTCTGTGAAATGACAGACACTTATTCTCCAGTGAACCGTAAAATCTGTACATGTTCGATTTGGGGAGTGGGAGAGCAGAGGCGTGGAGGCTAGAGTGGGAGGAAGAAGGGGGGAAGCCAAGGGGAAAGAGAAAAGACAGGAGAAAACTGAGAAACAACACTTCTGGCAAGACTATCACAACCCTAGTGGAAGAAATCTGATGAGAAATACAGTGCTTCGACTCTGAGTTCGAGGCCCTAAGTTTACCATGCAAGAATTTGTTCTCACAGCTGTTGCTTTTCCTTGTTATTCAAAGGCTTCAGCACCAAGGGGCGGCCACTTGAAGGTCTCCATCATCATTAGGCAGGGGTTGTGGCTTGGGGACAAACTGACTTGCCCATTTGCTTCAGTCCCCAGGGGCTACTGATGGTGTGGGGGTGGGGGCTCTCCACCAGCTCTTTAGAAGAATGAATCACAGTATCCCTTCTCACACGGGGACCTGAATTAGCAGAAAGTCTCTTTAATAGATTGTGCTTAGGCTGGGGGGTGGGGGAGTGGGAGGAAACTGGGATCTTTAGGAGGAAAACTCAGTGAAAGAAGTGGAAAAATCAGGTTGGGGGTAGGGGGATGCTCCCCCTGCTTTCAGTTGACATTAAAACTTTATCCTAACAAAAATCCAAAATCACTTATGTAACTTGGTGACAGGTACAAGGGAAATAGAAATGGCAAATAGAGAACACTGCCATTTTGAAATGAGACTCCAATCCAGCATAGGTTTTAATAGGAAACTTATCTTCATTCCTACACAAAAGCTTTCTGTTAGAGGACTCATACAGTTCTACTGGAATCTATACTAGACACAACTGATGATATAGTGGAGTACTACTGTGGTTAAACATTGATCTTTCTTCCTCTTGCAACGATACCATACTATATCTTGTGGATCACAACTGTGGGCCTGAAAGATCTGGCAGCTCTCTGGAGGGAATGATTACCCGGTAGCTTCTCCTTGCACCGGCCACTAGGCAGTTTAGTGGCGGTAGCAAGTAGACTGGGCCACTTCTCTATGTGGCCTGGGGATCCCGTGGATGGCCAGTGCCCTCCGTAAGACCGCGCTTCTTGAAGGTGCATCGCAGTCACTGGGAGCCGGCAAACGCAGACTCCGATTCAGAGGTCTGGGCTAGGCCTGAGCTTTGCATTTCTAATAAGTTCCAAAGTGATGCTGATGCTGATGGCTCCCTGGAGAATACCCTCCCTCACAGACACCTGCCCAATCCTCATTAGGTTGGGCTAATGTGGGGGAAGGCTGGAATATAACACAGTTCCTCTGACATGAAGCGGTGCATTTAATTGCTCTAGGAATTTTACTAATTTTGAGTCAAAATAATTTTAACGACTCTGTATCAACCACGGAGATGTCATAAAATTGATCAAAGGGTGACCACCCCTTTCTGGGAGAAGGGGGAGGGAGGGTTAAATCTAGTTAGAGATGTGAAATCTAGTTAGAATGAAATGTGAAATAAGCCCTGATTTTATGTTTACTCCAAGAAGTGAATTTTGATCAGTGCCAAGGGAAAAGTAATCTTAAAAGAGTTCTGGACTTTTGTTCATGTTCTACTAATATGCCCCGTTGGCTGAGGAAACAAGCAGCTCTGGAAAAAATACCACTTATAGGGAGAGGAGAACAAGACAAGGGGGATCTCCCCTCTTCTGATGTGTGTTCTTGCATAGAGTTTTGGATTTAACTAGAATGAACTAAAGTTTAACTCAAGTAAATGTTTTCACTAAGAGCAGGGGCTGAAGAGAGGTGACCCCTTCATCCAGCTCAGGGATGGCCTTGTGTGTCAGCAGTGTGCATAAGCATGCTTGGTTGCATGTAGTTTATACTTCTGTCCTGAGTTAGTAGTGAATGAGTTTTAGTTTTTGCCTCAGGGCGCTTGATATTATGCGACAAATTCTAAGTGTTCAATGAACACTGTCGACTGACTAAAGACATGTGAGTTCAGCTTTCATTTATTATTTGAGGCGTCCTGAGGCTGATTTTGTTTCAGTTCTTGATATATTCCTTCCAGACTCTGAACCAATGGCTTTCTATGAACCAGAAAACAGACTAGTCCGTAACTGAGGTTAAAAGTCCATTCTGCAGTGGATCCTAATATACAGATACCCGTGATAATATTATACAGACTGGAAAAATAGTTTTAAGGCTGTAAGGAGACTAGAGAGGATCTAATTTGACTTCTCTAATTTATCAACAGGAACCTGCCCTATTTTTACTCAGTTGCCTGTGGTCATTGAGGTAGGGTGAGCTCTTTGACTTGAGAGTTTTTTATATTGCATCCTGCTGCATCTCCCCCAAAGTTTCATATAACTTTTCCAAAGAGGTCCTCAATTTTCTTCATACAATGACAGAAGAGTCAAATGTTATCTTCATGAAGGAACTGATTGTGGCTCAAAGGAAGTAAAGTTAAATGCAAAGATGACGGGAAAAATTCCACCTATATAATGGAAAAGAGAATAACATTATAATTCAGGGAGCTGAGATTCAGGAATACATTTTTGATGCTTACTCATGAAGGTGGCTGGGTGAGGGGTCTGGGGACTGCACCACAGGGGGCCAATGGGACTGTGCAGGAGACAGTGGATGACACAGAACCTTATCAGGGAAGCCAGTAAAGATGGTGGATCATGTGACCCTCGGCCCTCTAGGGCTGAAATGCCAGTAAGAAGATATTGAGCCTCACCATTCTGTCTCTTCACTTTCATGGCAGTTTCCATAGATAGACCACATCATAAAGTGAACCAAAATAACAGACACATAAATAAACAGGTAAATTCACATAGGACCCCAAAGGTGTTACAGAGACCAGACACACATCTACATTTCAGCTCCTCAATCAATTTGTCTGTTTCACCTGAGTATCATCTGCCAGCTCATCAGTAAATGAAAAAAAGCTAGAAAGGGCAGTTGGGAGAAAAACATCAATGCCATAAAAATCACAGACCTCGGCAGTATAGGACTGGGGGGCAGGAGGTAGGGTGATGACAGGAAATACCCTCAGAGGGTTGTTATGAGAACTATTTCCAATTCAAAACAACAATGATGATCCTCTTTATTCAATTATCAACTTCCGCTGTCTTAATGCCATGTTTAGGGGAGGTCAAATTACCAATTAAAAATGGCATACCACAGTTCCAGCAAGCCAGTCCCAGGACGTTAGCCAAGTGCCGGAGCCCTCCTTTGACAGAATGGCGAGGGGCCTTTTCGGCTTCCTGGCTCTTGTGCCCTTCTCTAGAGATGCAGGAATGCTGGAGAGCACGGGCCTATGTTGTTCTTGGTGGAATACAGCATCATTCACACTTACTAAGTTGCTCCTGCAACTTGGCTATTTCTCTTAGACAGTATGAGAAACTTTCAGATCTTTAATTTGCTAAAGAATTACTAACTCCGGCCAGGTGCAGTGGCTCAAGACTGTAATCCCAGCACTGTGGGAGGCCAAGGAGGGCGGATCACCTGAGGTCGGGAGTTCGAGACCAGCCTGACCAACATGGTGAAGCCCCGTCTCTACTAAAAATACAAAAGGCCGGGCGCGGTGGCTCAAGCCTGTAATCCCAGCACTTTGGGAGGCCGAGGCGGGCGGATCACAAGGTCAGGAGATCGAGACCACAGTGAAACCCCGTCTCTACTAAAAATACAAAAAAATTAGCCGGGCGCGGTGGCGGGCGCCTGTAGTCCCAGCTACTCAGGAGGCTGAGGCAGGAGAATGGCGGGAACCCGGGAGGCGGAGCTTGCAGTGAGCCGAGATCGCGCCACTGCACTCCAGCCTGGGCAACTGCGTGAGACTCCGTCTCAAAAAAAAAAAAAAAATTAGCTGGGCATGGTGGCGGGCACCTGTAATCCCAGCTACTCGGGAGGCTGAGGTGGGAGAATTGCATGAACCTAGGAGGCAGAGCTTGTAGTGAGCCGATATTGCGCCACTGCACTCCAGCCTGAGCGACAGAGTCAGACTCTGTCTCCGAAACAAAACAAAACAAAACAAAATCACTTTTACTACAAGAGCACAGTTCGGTAATCAGATAAGGCAAAGAAAGGCACTTTCTCCTACATCACAGGAATATTTTATAATACAATTATAAGGATAGGCCAGGCACTGTGGCTCATGCTTATAATCCCAGCACTGTGGGAGGCCAAGGCAGGTGGATCACCTGAGGTCAGGAGTTCGAGACCAGACTGGCCAACATGGTGAAGCCCCATCTCTACTAAAAATACAAAAATTAGCTGGGTGTGGTAGTGCACGCCTGTAATCCCAGCTACTCGGGAAGCCAAGGCAGGAGAATTGCTTGAACCTGGGAGGTGGAGGTTGCAGTGAGCCAAGATCACACCACTGCACTCCAGCCTGTGCTACACAGTGAGACTTGGTCTCAAAAAAAAAAAAAAATAAAAATAAAAAT